TATCTATCGTTAATGCATTCACATAGATTGAAACATCTTTGTCATGAAACAAAAACAGCGTTTCCCATGAGTCCGTAATTGAGCTGACCAGTTTCTTTCCCCACCGATACCAATGCAAATTTGACATTTGAATGTCTTCTCAGTGAGCTACTAAGTGTTTATGTTATCAGAGCAGCATTTGTATCTATCATAAATAGACAACAGGGTGGCCACCTTTTCCAAAAAATATCTAACAGTATGATAAGCACATACTTTTGTTGTGGGTCACCACGGTGGGAAGTGTCAAAATGTACCCAATGAACTGTTTTGGTCACTAGGTAGTAGAGAAGTCAGCTTTGATGGATTATGTGCTGTTCACTTTGCAGGCCTCTGCATGTGCGTGTGTGTGTGTATGTTCACCCCTGATGTCTGTCAGATTGAATGGTCTTTGGGGATAGTAGTATTCTGAGAGCAACTAACAGTAACATCTGGCACTGCATTGGCTTTGTTATGAATATTTATTTATTTTCTATTTAATCATGTCTTTGTAGACCATCTCAAAAAAAATCCTGCTGAGTTTTTTTGCTCTGAATGGGGATCAAAAACACAACGGGTCTCCCTTGTCAATACCATCAGGGCCATTCTTCCCCACAAAGACACAGCTAATTTAGCGTCAGCGCTGCTTATTGGCTTTGTGATTTTTGTTTCCTTGTTTTTGTCATTTCTCCGCGGGATAGTTTGCCTGCACAGCTGCGAAGACTTGGAAACTGCCTGGCAGGAGGAAATGCAGGTACTGCATGATCTCTTCAATTATGCCTGTGTGTAAGCATCCTCTTTGTTCGAACACAGGCAAGCGTATCAGAAAGGTTGACAGGGTTCTTCTTCTTGTCTGTGCCAAGCTCAGCACCTGGATGGTTGCACAGGGCACCTCTGCCGATAGCTCTCCTTGCTGACAGAAGAGCAGTCAGAATAGTTCCAGCTGTGTTTGTGAAGTGGGTATGAACTTGCAAGAAGAGCAACACAGAAGAAAATAAGTCCCTCAAGGATCTTGCACACCTAGAGACACATTTCACTCAAATTATTTTTTTGGTATTTCTGGATGGAAACTGTATTTGTCCATTAGCAATGAGCAAGGAATTCTCTCTTACTACGCCAACTAGAATTGTAATTGATGGAGCGGGGGTGTGAACATGGTAAATGTGTCAGCAAAATAATTTCTAGAATAATGCAAAAAATATTTACCCTGAGTATATCCCACACAGTACAACTGCTATTTTCCTGTCCTGAGTGCCATTTCTGTTTTTATCACCAAAATTATTCACACTACTGTCAAGGTGACTTGTTGGAATGTCACAGCCACACAACTTGAAACAACTACCAAAAATATAGTCCCTTGTAGGAGCAAAATCAGTGACATAAGTCATGCATTGTGCATAACAGCTTGGTGTCATGCACAATTCCTTCATAATGTGTGTTCATTATCCCATTAAACTGGATATATGGAGTGGGCCAGGTGGAATGTAGTCATGCATGAACATTTTTCACTGTCTGTTTTGTAGAGTGAGTCCAAAAGAAGAGCAACCATTGATATTCATGGCACAGCCGGTATGAGGTGTGACAGTATTTTTTGTGAATCTGTGAGTGTATATGGTAATACCAGAGCAGCCTCAAACCTCAACAGTCTCTGCCTAAAGGAGGGGCGCACTGTGCCCACACAGGCACTGCAAGATAAAGAACCACTCACTCAGAAGCCATAATTTTCTCTTAAAACACAATTTCTTGCCAGTTCATTTGCTTCTGTGCTGTAGGGAAAATGCGGGAGTGATTGTTGGTCTAGGCTGAACAGTGTTTTTGATAAATTAAGTTTTGCTAATTTTTATTTAGAAAAGGTGGATTACATCTCTATTTTCCCTTTATGGGTGATGTTTCGACTGTGCTGCTGTTGATGTACTGTTGAATGATAAGCAGGCATTTTGCTGCATGTTTAAGTTCACTAGTGACGCAAGGAAGGGAATAAATGAGAGAAAAACAAATAAGAGGTCAGGGAGACCACA